TGGTAGGATTACTATTTTTTAGTAAAAACATGGAACACTCGCTCACGTATCTGTTTGGTTCTCACACCATAAATGATGGGGTTGAGTGAGGGTGGGATAACCAAATATATATTGGCAATAAGAATATGAATATAGCGTGGTATGTTTTGTCCAATTCGGTGAGTAAGAAAAGAGAAGACCGACGGGATATAAAACACACAGATGACTCCAACATGAGAACCACAAGTACTTAGGGCTTTTAGCCGAGCATCCTGAGATGGGAGTTGAAAGACAGTACGAAGAATGTAAACATAGGAGACACCAATAAGGACTAGATTCAAGACAAAGAGTGAAACTACAAAGAGCCCATAGATACCATTGACACGGATGTTTCCACAAGACAATTTTGCAATGCCCATATGCTCACAGTAGGCATGGGCTATTATATGAGCTTGACAAAAGGGTAGGCGATAGATGAGATAAATCATGGGAAGTGTAAGCAAGACTGGACGAATTAAAATGCACATACTGATGCCCACCAACACATGGGCTGTCAAGATGGTCGTGTAGTGGAGTGGTGCACAGATGGCCACATAACGGTCAAAGGCCATAGCCAGTAAGACCTCAGCTTCCATGCCTGTAAAAGTATGAATCAGAAACATCTGGGCCACACAGGCTCCAAAATTAATCTCATGAGCTTCAAACCAGAAGATGCCCAGCATGCGTGGTACAGAGGTCGTAGAAAGTGCCAGGTCAATTGTTGAAAGAATGGCCAGAAAGTAGAACATGGGCTCTCGGAGGGTCTGGTCAGTCTTAATTACTAGGAGAATTGTAGCATTGCCCAACAAAGCCACAAGGTAAACAGAGCAGAATGGCAGGGAGATCCAGGTATGGATCCTTTCTAGTCCTGGAATTCCCAGGAGGAAAAATGTGGTGGGGTGAAAAATGCTGCTGTTTTGGTACATCATCCTGTCACTGGTCAGAAGGGGTGAATTTGCTTTTCCAGTAGAGGTAAAAATGAGAGAGTGAGAAAGAGAGAGGAAGAAGAAGAGGGGAAGAGGAGGAGGAGGAAAAAGAAAACAATGATATGTGAACTTCTAGCTTAGTGTTTCAGCATAGAATAGAACACACAGTTGCTACATGCCTGAGTACATTACTGAAGCTCTTATAGTGACTCTTCTCCATAGCCATACGAATGGGCCAGACCACCATCAAATGCAGAGTAGCCATTCAACCTGACGCCTGAGTCTCAATTTCAAACAAGGAAGGCTTACCCTATGCAGATTTAGGACAATCTGAGTATGCTATTTATTTTAGAAGAGAATAGGATTTGCTTACACTATGAAAAATCTACTCTCTGGTGAGTGATAATGGAAACATCACAACTACACAGGGGATCAAGTTAATACACTACAGAAGCAATAAAAAATGTCTGTTAAGTATTCCATAACGAAAATAAATCAGACTCAGGTTTGTATGCACATCCACAATCAAAACATGCATAATTTCTTGTAATGACTCCTCATTATTGATTTTATAGATAAATACAGTGCGTAAGGCCTTTGACTGCTAACCAGAAGGCTGGAGGTTCAAACCCACCAGCTACTCTTCAGAAGGAAGACTGGGCAAACTACTTTTTTAGAGATACCGCCCCATAAACCCAAAGGTGCTCACTCTGGGTCGATATAGACTCAACGGCAGCGAGTTGATGGTTAGAGAAAGGAGCTCTGGTGGTGTAGTGCCTAAGGCATTTGACAGCTAATC